CTATCTATCTATCTATCTATCTATCTATCTATCTATCTATCTATCTATGTTTTTAATGTTTGTTGTGAGTCGCCCAGAGTTCCCCCATCGGGGGGAGATGAGCGGGTGAGAAAATAAATAAATAAATAAATAAATAAAAATGCAGAAGCAGATAAAAAGCTATGATGAACATTTGATGCAACATCAACCTGATAAAATATTGTAAAAAATAGGCAATTAAACTAGTCAAGCAATAAAATGAAAGATAACCAACAAACACGGTAGAGACATTAAAAGATTTAAAGATTTTTTTTCTATTAAAAAACAATAAAACAGGTGACTAAAAAGGGATAATCAATAAGCATAATAATACATAACATTATTAGATTAAATATTTGAATAGGGTATTTTAAACTCCCGAGGAACCTTTCCCTTATTAACTTTATTAATAAAATTTCTAAAAGGATGCCGCATATCATAAAAATCTTGTGGATATGCATATCCTTTAACACGTTACATGTGTTGATTTTTCCATAGAAATACCATAATTTAACCATATGTCAAGTGATAGGGAGGAATCTGATTTCTAGCACTGGGCTATTGTCAATCTGGCTGCTATCAACAGGATAATTAACAGCGTTTACACAACACTGTTTAATTCTGACCTGTCGGGCCCTGACACAATCATTTATATCTCACAAAAGCAGTATGTGATACAGAAAACAATAACAATGTATAGTAGTAGCATGCACGTAGATTGGATCATACTATGTGGGAAGGAGCAGACGACCTCTGGTTCTCATTGAACTATGTTCCCAGCAATCTATTCTTCTCACTTGGCAGTGCTGACTAAGAGTTGTAGTTCAACAATGGTCTGCAAGTTATACATTCTTGGCTTAGAAAAATATTATGCACCATTATGACAACTCAGTGCAAAGGGGGCTAAAGTCTGCCTTAATTCGACAGCAGCATAAATGGCTCTTCCAGCTCCATGGTCCTGCATTGACCTCCTCATGGCAAGGAGCTGATCTGGTTCTAGGAGAGAACCAGAACTGTTGGAAAACACTTCTGTGGGTGCCCAGCCTGTGCACCCACGAGGGGCAACATTTGCTTTGCTCTTAGGAAGGGAGTTGCTTCATGGAGCAGCTTCAAAGGGATGCTTCACTCAAAGCATCATGAAAGTGAAGAACTCTTTCAACATTCGCACAGCCCTACTGGAACCAAGCATCAAGTGGGTCGTTGAAGAAGGGAGGTTCAGTTATGGAGGGATAACAATGGAAAAGACCTTGTTCCTGGTCGTCACCCATGTTTGAAGATAAAAGGGCTTGGACAAGATTTGCATTGTGATCTTAACTCAGGGACATTCCAGGCCCAACATCCTGTAAATCCAAAAAACATAAAACTAGAAGAAAATTGGGAGGTTAGCAAGTTGGAATCCCTTCCACTAGATTGAACTGATGTTCCAGTAAAACTAGGGGCAGGGGGTGGCTTACCTTTTTTTTTTTTTGGCTGAGGGCTGCATTTCCTCAAGAGTCCATTGGGGGTCATATGGTCAATGAGATTATAACCAAAGAGAGTAGGACCTCCACTCATTCTCATTCTCATTCTCATTCTCTCTCTCTCATTCTGACATCTGCTTTTCCCTCTTTTGGTCACCCTCTCCCCACTGCACCCCAAAACAGAAGGTACAAGGAAAGGATACATGGTTCTTTATAGAGAATGGAATGAGTCTCTTTCACAAAGGTTATGGAATTCACTCTTGGGTTGGCAGGACCATCAATTATAATCATCAGTAATATGTATCTGCTTTATAAATTCCTTGAAAGTTGATTCTGGGATTTTTCAACAACTGGGTGGAAAAGTTGCCTGAAAGATTGTTTGCCCACCGGTGTTGGTATTTCTCTGCAGTGCACACCCATCAGGGCTTTAACGGAAAAATGGAAAGTGTTCAAGCAACCCCACCTAAACTGAGATTAGGTCCAAAACATGCCTGATAAACCCACAGAAATGCAGTGTAGCTCCATAGCAGATGAAACGTGTATTCTCTAAAGTCTGGAAGACAAGCCATTGATGTACATATGAGAGAGGCTTGATTTTAATTTATTTAAGATATTTTTATCTGTTTAGACAAACACATGCTAGATGGCTAAAAACAAATGTGGCATAACACACCATCATGAAGTATCTAAGAAAACATTATCTTTTAAAAGTGGTCTGCAGTAGAAGTAGGGTGGTGAAGGGTAGGTTTACTCTTTAAAAAGATGGTCAAAATTCCCTTGGATATTCCCTGACTTTAAACATGACTACAGTAGTTCTTTGGATCTCAGCCAAAGCCTTCAAAAGCAGCACTTAAAAAAAGCACACACACAGAAAGAAATAATTCCTCTTTTTTATCCAGTGGGGGGAGAGACTTAATGAAAAAACATTTATGCATTAACTATTGGAGAACACAGATCATGCACGAACAGAGACAGATGGTATATAACCAGTTGGCAAGCTCTAGAAATAAACACTTATGCTGGCTGCTTACAGGGATCAGTTCTTCTTGGTTTCTGCTAAACAATATTTGCAAAATCTGGAAACTGAGAAGCTAAATTGGATATTTGCTGCTATATCTGGGCTACCAAACTCCAGAGTAGATGGCAAGAAAAAGTTACTGAAAAGGTTCTTTGCTGCCACCTTGTGATCATCTGGGTTGTTGCAAGCTGGATCTGGTGGTACTAGTACTGTATTTGTAAGACATTTTAACAAAGAAGATTGAGAATTGGAGTCAGATTTTTTTAAAGCTAGGAATATACAGCAACTACGACTATTAATCATTATAACAATATGATTGCTGTGGTAGGACCCACTCCATAAAGTAAAATAAATAAGTCTGAACCAGAACATCATTGACATATTTTATATTTTAATGAAAAATAATTAATAGGATAACTCCCTAATGCATTTAATATATTTTTTCTTCAGTTATATTTAGAAGTACCATTTGGAGGCGTTTGGGCTTTTGAACTTCACTTATCATAGAATCATAGAATTGTAGAGTTTAGAGGGACCACCTGCTACGTGCAGGAAAGCCAGTTAAAGTTGCTAAGGTTGAGAAATGCTGCTCTAGAGAGTGACAAGAACAAACTCTTACAATGTTTTTGCAAACATTTCACCTTGCCGACATGAAGGCATTCTATAATTGGGAACTGATATTAACTCAATAACCTGTGAACTTCAGAGAACAACTGATTCTATTCAAATTATACTGACTTGGAACCATGCTATGCCTTATTCTTTGTTTAATATTAGCTCTGGCACTCTCTGACCCTAAAAAGTGCCCCAGAAAGAATGCATAATGTTGGAGCCTTGTTTCCAAAAAAGGACTCTAAGAAAATTGATCGGTGTCTATCGCTAAGGGGAGCCTATCACAAGGGATCACATTCGATTTTAGCCAGTATTTAAAAGACTGTGATCCAATCCTTGCCTCCACTTTCCAAAATCTAGCCTTGAGTTGTAAAATCCCATTGGAGCTCCCTGTGATAAAAATCCGCTATTTTCTGGCTCTCTTAATTGATCATTTTGATGAACATTAAGGATGAAATATGTCTATTCAGTTATATTGTATTTATTTTTGACAAGTAATTAGTGGGTCTTTGTTTCCTAGGTTAAGGTTACTCAGACTGCAGAAGGGCAAACACAGCCTCAGTTGATTAAAATATTGCAGAAAGGAGATTACTTTGGAGAAAAGGCCTTGATCAGGTTTGTTTAAAATTATTTCTCATTTGGAAACATTCACATTCACTTCCATTGTTATTTGAAAACTTCAGAAGCTCAAAAATGGAGCAGGGCCTGAGAATACAAGATATGGACATAATTCTTTAAGAAATTAACTAAAGTTCTATAATTCATAGATGACTGAAACAGTAGGCGTTCATGCTACCATTGTTTTCTATAGGCTCTACCATTCAAATTGTCTATCTTGGTTACTGTAGGCTGAATTTTCTGCTTTTTGGTAGACGCAGTTGATGGATTTTTCAAGTAGATCAGTGTTGTCCAAACTTCTGGGAGTTGAAGTCCACTCATCTTAAAGTGGCCACGTTTGGACAACACTGCAATAATGGGAGGATTTAAACCTTGCAGTGGCATTTGGGCAAACAAATAATGGCTACTTAGCTAACAAATTAGGCTGTGTGTTTTATCAGTACTGGTGCTATAATATCATTGTTAAAAAGATTTGCAAAGATACTGTAGGAAATCAGGGTTTATGTACAGGCATTTGGGCATCTAGCTGCTTCTAATTAATCAAACAATGTGATCTTGCCTATCTGTATTCAGAATTAAGTTATATGCTCAGGGAAACAGACTGCTAATAAGTATATACAGGGTTGTGGCTGAAATCTAAGTTGCCACCTGATCTGTAACTTACTCTTCTTATCTTCGTAAAATCAACCGTCTCTGATGTGTTTCTGTTTATAGTGATGATGTTAGGTCTGCTAATATAATTGCAGATGAAAATGATGTGGAGTGCCTTGTTATTGATAGAGAGTAAGTATTACCTTCCTATATTGCTGTCTCCTTTCCAGCAGCTCTTCATATTCACTGATACGTTACATCAAGAATGCAGTTTTTCTGTGTTCTCTTCACTTCTATTTTCTGGCCGAAATTGGGGGAGGCGGGAAT